ATATAATATATTTCTAATTATGGTTTACTGGCCTTCTCATTATAGAATACCTATCGCTTCTTAAATTTAGAATATTTTCTTAATTTTGGAAAATAAAATTGATTATATAATAATAAATTAAATTCGATTATTTGTATATCATAAATCAATCCTAAATATTCTTTCTTAAATTCTTAAAAAGTCTCACTTTAATATGAAATCGTTAATCCAATGCATCATCCGCAAGCGAAACCGAATTTTTGCTAGAGAAACAGGCAACAAGACCACATTGTGAAATATCATCATAAACTCTGATAAAAGTTAAAAAGCCTATCTTTTGGATAATTCACCGACACAGGAAGAATTTAATCAATCTAAGCAAGAAAGGATTTCCAAACAGCTTCAATAGGATTTTTTGCAGCAGGGAGAAAAATAAAAAATTTAAATTGATATTATTTGCTAAAACAACATTTTTTCAAATCCTTTTTCCATCATTTTAATAATAAGACCAAAATGGTTTAATTCTGATATCCTTTGAGGATCCTTTTGGGAGTAACTTCTAATTTCGTCTGAACTGTGCCATATCAGCTCTTATAATTAATATAAAGGAAGGGATTTCACTAACATTAGAGCCTGAATAAAAACCAAAGTTTCCTCAAATAGCTATTTTAACTATAAGAAACTCGTCATACAATTCCATTTGAAATCTCGTTTATTTTGGATAGGCAGTTAGATATATCCATTTCCAGGTGTATTAAATATTTTTACCCTTTGAAATTAAAATTCATAGGTTTGACTGTTATCATCTAATGTCTTAATAAATCTGAAACAAAAGTGAAGTCTATGTCAAAAACCATCTTAGTCTTTTCTGAAGGGATCTAACCCATCTTACAATAATCATTTTTCTTTTCCTGTTGTCTTCGCTTAAAAAAAAAAGGGAATTTTATTTGTTATATACTAATTTCTTGAAGATCCTCAATCAGTTCTTGCTATTCGAATGAGTCAAATCTATGGGCTAGTTCTGGGCTTCTTCTTAACTTTTCAAAACAATTATTAAATCTCTGCTAATGTTTTAATTATCAAGAGAGCGACCAGTATTGAGAAGTTAATTAAAAAATCAGGAGAATTAATAAATTACAGTTAACTTTTTAAGTTGATCTTCTCTCAGATCGCAACGACTCCATCTCCTCAGATATCTCCTCAAAGCTGACCTATTTCTACTTTAGCCTTTCAAAACTGAAAAAGAAAGAGCCTCCTGGGGATTTGTCAATTATAATATTTTCAAAAATTATTTTGTTTGTAAGAGCATATAAAATGTTGACTCCATACTTTTTTCTTAATTCGATACCTCAGTTAGTTTATTTCACTTGTTAGGCTTCCTTTTCTAACTAATAGGCCTCTCTTAATTGATTAATCTCCCCCCCCCCTGTAAGCTTACTAGGGTTGTATTTTCATTCTATCTTGTGATATTTTTCAAAGTTCAATCTCAAACCTTAATATCATGAATTTTAACTTTCAGATAAATTTTAAGAATCCCAAATTCTCTTCAAACAGAGTTTTCTTTTTAAGAACATTCTAGATTCTTTTATATAAATTCAAAATCTTTAAGTTGAAATTTATCATTAAAGGATAAAAAATCGCTCAAAGTTTAGTATTAAACCTAAGGGATTATAATATTCTTCTGCCACAAATCTACTTTATTTGTGAGAATCACTAAGTTATCAAGGTTGACACTTGATTTTAGTCTCTTAATTTCCTAGTCTACTTAGTTCATATTATTAGAAATCAATCAGACTCTTTCTTAAAACTTGTTATCAATTCACACAAATAAATGTTATTGGAAATTAATAAATATCCTAAAAGGACTCGATTTTAAACCTAATTTTCCTATTATCTATTGAATAAACCTTCATACTATACAGAAACACAGTGAAGGCCAACATATTGGTCGTTTCTTAATCATTATTTAATATAGAATGTAACTAATCTTTCTAAATTAGTATTAATTTATCTATTTAAAAAAAATCTCATCTCCATAAGTCCTCTCAGAAATAATCAACTTCAAGAGATTTGCTTAAGCCCATTTCATAAAATTTAACTCAGTGACTTTAAATCATAGACAGTCTCAGCATTTAGATCATCAATGGTGCTTTAATATTTAATTGATTAGACCTAATTTCCTAGGCAGATTCATTACATTAATTAATGTTATATCAATATTATAATACCTATTTCATTAACTCTAAAATATTCTTGCGCTCCCACTTCACATAAAATGCTTCTATTACCCTAATTAATTTATCGTCACCGTCAGTA